GCTGACGTAAACACAAAGCCAGGGTCACTGGGAGGTTGCGTTAGCCTAGATATAGTTCAGTCAAAAAGCTGATTGGTTCTACATTACTATTAAACTTAAAATCGGAATTCAACGACAGGGTAGGCTAAAGTTATTGATCTTCACACCCACTTCAATTGAACCCTGCCAATAGCTACATCAATGTAACCATCAACCGTCTATTGGTTTAACATTAAATCTATTTTCAGATTTTAATAATTTTTATACGACTGGACCCAAAGCCTATAACAATCAGGTTTTCCGAAGTCAACATGCATGTTCTAACCCAGACATGAGCGAATAATGAGCAGAGTAGATATAAGGTTGGAGAAGGAAGGAAAATAAGCGCAGCAAACTGCAAACGTCGGCAAAAAGCCAGGAACAACCAACCAACCTAACAACAGCAAGCAGGGGCTAGACAGGCCATCAAATTAGATAAATCCCGGGGTCAGAGGTCACAGACCAAGTGGCTGAGAGGCAGACGAAAACCAGAACTGACTCCAGGGTTAACCCGCCCTCACCTACACGGAGTGACGGAAATTAATGAGGCCTTGAATTGGCGGCGTCAGCGAAAACAGCGGCCACCACGCGCTGGAGAGAGTGAGGGCCAAAGAGTGTAGAGAGAGTGAAGAGAGAATAAGGACGGGACCTTAGAGTGTCAACGCATTTCAGCGAAAATACCAGGCTAATAAAAATCGCAGTGCATTATTTCCTACTTAACATTCGTGTTGGCACCATTCACCGAGGCTTACACAAAACATAAACTGCATAATGACTTGGGCGGTGTTAAACCCAAGGTGGGAAAGAAAGGGAGATTCCGGCCGTCTTTGTATCCCCGCAGCGCAGGGTAGGAGTGTGTATACGCTCGGGGAGAAAACCTTCCCTTGACATTAAGTACAATACCACAACGGAAGCTAACCAGACCTTGGGTTACATACAGAGCATAACTGTGAAACTGTTAGGGATAAATGTTAACTTTAAAAACCTTAACCGTTTTTGGTGCGTCGGTGAAAGTCGGGGGAATATCGCCCCATCCCTCCAGGTTGTGTACCCAGACAGAGAGGGCCTTCGAGACAATTCATAACATTTGATTGTTTTACTTGTGGGTTTTATGATAGGAGAGTGACAACGGAATATACCGTGGGTGATGCACACAAGGACACACACTGACACACGTACACACACACACGGACGCAGATACATACGGACAAATCCTGACACAGCAAAAATTGAAAGAAACCCGGCCTTGTGGGCAGGGTCCGAGTGAAGGGATTTTTGGGCATAAAAAGAGGATCCTGAGCATTGAAACCTCAGTTCGACCGGGGGGGTCGACTCAGGAGCGAGCTGCGACCAGCGGGTCGGTTCGACTCGTCCGCAGTTCATCGGCTCACCAGAGTTCGACCGGGGGGGGGGTCGGCTCACCAGAGTTCGACCGGGGGGTCGACTCTCGGGAGATAGTTCGACTCGGAGGAGTTCAACTCGAGGGAGTTCGACCAGGGGGGGTCGACTCACCAGCAGTTCCAATCGGGAACGAGAGCAACAGGTCGCCAGCCGGCGAGCTGCAGAGCAGGGGGCGGCGAGCAGAAGCCAAAGTGGCCCCGTCGCTACCCACTGACGTTGGCAAGACTCGCAGGGCAGTGAGGCGTCACCTAGTGTGATTTCCAAGAGCTGAAAGACAGAGTATTGCTGAAAGATTATTCTACATTGAGTCCAGCTGCAGAGCGACCCACGCACCAAGCAAGAGCTTCTGCAAACCAGAGCAAGAGCACGTGCGACCAGAATGGACGCGGCCCGTGGAGGAGTTCGGCAAGGCGGGAGTGCGCTCCGCCTGTATCGCCCTTCCTGATGGTGGGAGCCGTCGATCAACCGGCCGACGCGCTGCTCAGCCGGCGGTGCGTCTCCTCGCTCCTCCGGGGCTGCCAAATCCGGGGCTGTCGAGTTGTCGTCATCTTCCTCTGGAGAACAGGCACGTGTCTTTATTCTTGTCTCCATGTAACATAGTTAGTCAAGTAATTCACTATTTGGAAACTTCTGACTCCAGTTGTAGTGGTTCACAACCAAGAAGGCAGAGACTTCTTAGAGGCAACACGTTTATTTAACAATAAAGCCCTAAACACGAAGGGGTATATGTGCCCCTTCACCAGGGAGGTATCCCCTCTGGGCTAGCTAATGTGGGGAGCTGATGCTCCCCTCCTCCTCTTCCCCTTCCTCCTCCTCTCCTCCCCGCCAGGCTGCCGCCGATCGAGTGATCGCCCCCCTCCCCCTCCTCCTGCACCAGCGTCCTCTCTGTGGGACATGGCAAGTGGCTGGCTCCCCGCCGCCTCGGGTCATCCCACACACTCCCCACGTAAAACCCCCACCAATCCCGAGGTGGCTACTTGCACGCCCGTAACCCCGTGCGGGTGCACGCTGCTCACCACGCCTTGAGCCCCAAAAAAAATCGCCAAGAGAATAACCACCACCACTCGGGCTGCGGTGGGTGCGTGCACGAGCGTACCTGCTCGCGTGGATGCCTACTGCTCACGCCAAAAATAGCGCGGCGGACGCGGGTTCAGTCACCTCTCGGATGGACTCACGGTCTCCCACGGGTGCGAGGCGAGTCGGAGGGACGTGGGTCCTGGAGGGTTTTTTTTTTTTTTTTTCCCCACGCGTTGAGTTGAAACTGCGCTCGCCAGCATCTCTCGGACGCTCGAGCGGCTGCGAGTCCGACTGGGTCGCTGGCTGCCCGGAGGAGAACTCACTGACGTTTTTTTTTCCCTTCCCCCCCTTCCCTTCGTCCCCTCCGAATCCAAAAAAAATCCCGGGTCACGTGGTGTTTCCCTCCCGGCCAATCGGGCGCCTACCTTTTCGATTTTCGACCGATGCCCCGCCCACCCTACCGGCCGAGGCGTCGCCGCCGTGCCTCCGCCGATTGTTTGCGCGCCCGGCCCTCTCCTCTCGCGGTGCTCAGGTTTAGCGCTAGGTAGCTCAGGACATTTTTTCCACCCGCTGCCCCCGCCCCCTGACCTGGCAGGTGGCTCTCACTGGCCTCACCGCCCGATGCTCGCTGGTAATGCTTTGTTGCTTTAGCTAACTCGCCAGGTGTTTTGCTCTCCCCACGGCCCCACTTGCCTGTGTTCCGGTGTGTTCTCATTGCGGTTTTGCCCGGGGAGCTTCGCCGTGCCCATACAATTCTAAGGCAATTCACGGGGACCACGATGTCATTCAGCCAATCTCCTGGGACTGGGAAACCATGGGACATCCCCCACAAGGGGGCCCTCTGGTAAAAAAAACCCAGGGTGATAGGTGACCCTCCCCCCCCATCGAGTTCCTACGTGGGGTATGTGTGTGTGTGTTAAGAGGGGTGTGCGTGCGTTTGTGTGGGGGGTTGCGAGGGGATAGCAGCGCTGGCAAAGTGGCTCTGTTGCTGTGGCACCACAAGCCCTTTCAACTTGTCCTTCCTGTCTATTGTGTGTATTTAAATGACATTACTATTTAAATACACAATATATTTACGCGATCTAACCCAAAAAAAACCTCTATTATGGATGATAGTGGTCTCGAAAGCCTACGTGTTTAACTAGTAGTGCATTATAACGTGACTTGGTTGGACGGACGCTTACATTTATAAGGGCACGGGGTAAGTAATAATGTCTGAATTGTTCTGTAATAATGAAGGGCACTGATAAGATGTTGTCTTGGAAAAGTCAATGTCATACAGAGGTTCTTTGTAAGCCATCTGGCTACCATGAGAGATTCGTTCATGAGGCTATCCACATATACAAGCACAGAGACAATTTCAACCGAGAAGATGGATTCTGGCTTAGCAATCATTGGAAAGATTTGATTAACCATTTCAGGTCTTAATTGATTGTTCACGCTTACAGTGGCTTTCAGACAGCATACATTAATTTTTCGTCTCCCCCCTCCTCTTTTCAGAACATAGATGGACTAGTCCTTCTAAATAAACTGCCAAATCGCTGCGCGTGGCGCTGACGTTTTTATAAACAAATAAATAAATACGCCGTTTAAAAATACATAAATTTATGTAAACCGACACATCTGATGACGACCGTTTGTGTTATGGTAGAAACGTCGTGAGAATTTTTATTGTTTTATATATATTTTGTTATTTTTTTGTTTCCCTTCAACGTGACTTTACCGAAAGAGCTAGGAATATGTGTGTTGCATTTCATGATCAAATAATTTCTGGAAAAAAAATGCGATATGGAGGAGGAATTACGATTACTATTTTATTTTACCATGTGGCTCATTGTAATACAGATTTAAAGACAGTACAGGGTGATAGAGGGACAGTATGGCTTCCCGGGGCCATGGTTACTAATTAATGTGCTCATAATAAAGGTTTTTGGGTTAGATCGCGTTTATTTATAAATGTGTCGTAACCCTCCACCACCCGACACGGCCAATCAGCAAAAAAAAAAGTGTCACGTTGACAAAAGACAAATAATTCACTACTTCAGCCCACCGGTGTGTTGAAGAGTTAATCCACATTTACAGTTTGAGTACGACGTTTCGCTGGTAAATACATCCAGCATCATCGGGCAATTCGCCAGAATGGTAAAGCCCTCGCTTGCTCCCGGTTTTTATATATATATATTTATATATAGAATAATATTGGTCGCGAAAGCCTACGTGTTAAACTAATTGATGTGCTAATAATGATTGACGGGACAAGCGTTGACAGGGTCGTGAAGGGAAGCACGGGACCCAACGGCGACAAAGTGGAATAAGGGCGGAGCTTGACATGGCCAGGTGCGGTGAGCGAAAGTTCGGGAATAAGGTCGTGGCCGGGTCGTGCGAGGGATAAGAGCCGGCGCGAACTGGACCTGGGGCTGTTGTTGTGGGGAATCGCCGTGGCCATCGTGGCCTTGGAACGGGTCATCTCCTTGTCTTCGAGTATTCTTGAGGCTCGAGTTACGTTGTCTGAGAATAGAGTCGTCTAAATTACCCAAGTGTATATAGTCATTCACGGTTACTCGTTAAGTTGTGAATGGACTTTATTCCAAATAAATGTACGGAAAGAACAAGACAGTGTCTCTGAGAGCTATATTACACAGTGACAACAGTTGATTTGGACATGCAGACTGTCAATTCTAAAGCTTTGTCCAGGTGCTATTTTGTCACCGTGTGCAGAGCACACAATCAATTACCAATCACTCACAGTTATTTTAATTATTGTACTAATCAATTACTCTACCTGTAACCAATACCCCAGTAATGCCGTAATGTTGTTGTAAGTACACCAACAAACTAGCAGAATATAGTTTGCTTCTTCACAATGAAGGTGGTGGCGCTAACGTACGTTCATTGAAGGCCGACGTGGAGTTACGCAGATTCACGACATTGTCACATCTCCTTAAGACAATAAACCCATACCTCAACGATGCAGATTAGTTATAATTCGAATTGAAGATACATTAAATTCAGAAGCAACAGTGAGATGATTCTAGATATTTGCAGTGGAGGGAGGCCTCATAATAACCACATCTCTTCAGGAAAAAGGGTACATCCCGTAATTATAAATCCTAATTCGCATGCAGTAGGTTTCAAGTGACATCTTTGAATGCTGAAACTGTAGATTAATATTCATTATCGTCAGACATTTCTAAGTCACATGCAGATCAACATGTAGTTACACCTATTGATTCTACAAGCTTTCATCGAGATGCACAGTAATATCCGAGCAATTGTTTTTTTACCACATCTCATTTCGACATTTTCTAAATCCACTGCATAGCATGCTGTTTCTTAGCACAGTAGAACATTATGTTCTAGTAAGTATTTACATGGCAGAGCCCTTTCCAGGGCGCTTTACAATGCAAGCCAACGTAGGTACACACGGGGTAAATGGAGTAACGAGTGGGGTGGAGCAGCTATCAGTGGAGTGATGGAATGTATGGAAGGACAGGGGCTGATGTTTCTGCGGTAGGTAAGTGAGAATAAGGTCTGATGGTGAGAGCGTCTGATTGGTGCAACGTGGATGAGAGGCAGCGGAGCATGTGGCACATGCATGCAGTAGTAAAATGGGCATGGACGAGGGTAGGTGAAGGGTGATAGGGGCAGAGTGTCTGATGCCGGAGAGTTGAGCTGAATGAGAAGAACCGCGTTAGAGCCGGAGAAGAGATGGGGTTAGGTGTGCATAGAGAAAGCGAAACGTGGGAGCCCGGCCAGGAATTGGGGTCATAGGAGGAAGAGGACTGGGGGACCTGGGAGTGGAACTGAGGCGAGAGAATAAACCGGTAGGGTGGATACAGTGGAATAGAAAAGCAATGGAAAGGAGAAAGCACCTGAGGGCTGAGCGACAGGAAATAAGTAAGGGTGAGAGGCTAATGTGGAGTGGGAGTTTGTTTAATTTAACTTGCTGCCGTCGTTATTATCGCATATGAAATCAGAGGCGGCGTCAACGAGAGCGTTCAGGAGGGACAAGGCGAGGATATTTGTGTTGGTGTTCACGTTCATGCAGTCGCGATAGTTTGTCATTGGGAAGACGAACTTCTCATCGCATTCTAAAGCTGAGCATATTTCTTTCATCTGAAAAAAAAGGAGAGATGCACATTTTGAATGAGTTTGCATTCGTTTGTGACGGTTATAGGACATTGCAAACAATGGAGATGGAGTTGCTTTGGGTGACATTTCAAACAGGTTATAATATTGATCAAATTATTAATATTTCTTAGATCCAATAATTTTCGGCATGAAATTATGTTTTTAAACTAACCAAAAATAGTTACCTGGTGCAACTCATTTCGCAAAGTGCACAAATTTGTATGGAACAAAAGCGGGCAAAGCTGTTGTTGAATATGTGCTGGAAAGATCACGTTCACTTTGTCTGCAGTAAAGTGACGAAGTCCATTGGTATCATCAGAAAGACGGATGGTTTGGTTCATCAGGTTTGCTTCCTCACTCTATGCTACAGTATAATGTACCCATATCTCATCTACAGCAATATTGTCTTGGCCAGTACATATGCTTCCTACATCCATACATTAAACATCATCCAAAAATACATTTGCAAGACTGGCCTCCTCCTCTAACTAATTAGCTCCATCTGGCCCTATGTTTAAGAAGCTCAATATCATGTCCATCTACAACATTGATATCCAAATGTGTACATATATCTATGAATACACGTACCTCTAAGACATCGTACCAAAACCCTTCAGAGTATTCTTACAGATTAATTACCAAATCCATGCATACAACACGAGACACTCCACTAACCTTCGTCCTCCCACTGCCGCACCACACACACAGAGTCGATTCGCTATCAGATACAGAGGCTCCATACTCTGGAATTATTATCTTCACATTGCAAAACTATCATCATCATCTTTCCTCAATAACTTCGAGCATAGATTACAAGTGAGCCTGATGGGTAGCAAAACTACCCAGTAGTCACCTCCATTTAGCCCAATTCTCATACACACACATACTCACACACACGCATACATACACATGCGCGCACAAAAACAACATTTTTTTATTTTTACACTGAGCTTAACTATGTTTAATTGTAAGTAGTATGCTTGGTTTAATTGATTAAACAATCTGCTTAGTAGATACATTGTTCTTTTTTTCTTTAGGGGTGGTTTTCACATAAGACCTCTTTGGTTTCCAACCTGACCTGGACACCTTTAATTTAAATTTGTATTTAAAGCTTTCGTGACTGCAGGGATTCATATTCTTGGTTCTTTCGGTAAAGTCACGTAGAAGGGAAACAATAAATTAATAAACATATAAAACAATACAATTCTCACGACGTTTCGACTGCAACACAAGCAATCATCATCAGGTGTGAAAACCACAGAAAAAAATTAAAAAGTGGCCACTTTTGTGGACACTTTTTTTTTCAAAAAGTGGCCACTTTTGTGGGCACTTTTTGTTATTTTCTTGCTGTGTTTTTCACACCTGATAATGATTGCTTGTGTTGCAGTCGAAACGTCGTGATAATTGTATTGTTTTATATTTTATTATTTTATTGTTTACCTTTAACTTAGTTTTCTTTAATTGCACTTTTTCTCTTTCACGTTTTTTTCTTTTCGTGAGAATAACGTAGCACATCTCCTACCAGGTAACCACTGCCCTGGGAATGTGAGTTGATGAATGTATTTAAGTAATTACAGAAATTGCGCTCTTCCACGGAGACAACAGCCTTGGTCTGTGTCTTTTGGGAGTTACGTTACGAATTACAGACACCCCGTTTTCACGAGCAAATAGAATGGAGCAAAACAATTTGGATGGCGGCCAGCGCACGTGACTAAACGAGGCAATGGCCGGTCATGGAGATTCAGGACAGAGTGCCAGCCAATGGAGGGCAACGCGTGAGAAGACGTCCGAACGTGGAGTTAGATGTATTGCTACATCGCAACACCACGAAACATGGCGATTGCTTGGCAAGGCTTTTGTCCGGTAGTAAACATATCGTGGATGATGATAAGGAGGATTGCATTGTGAAGATAATGTTGAAAATAATAAATGTGATTAACCAAAATCATCTGGAATGCACTAGATCCTATCAAAACTCGGATTCTCAACATCGGTAGTGCTTTGGAGGGTGACCACAATGCATAAAACAAAACATAAGGACTTTTGGGCACTAGACAACAGCGTAGCAAAATGTATTATTTAGGACTCCCTCGCCTCGCCAAATTAATTACATTTTTTTTTCCTCCAGCCTACTATTTTAAAGTCACGAACCAAGGACCACACAACAATTACGTTTATATATAGCAATAACCTTAAAAAAAACAGAGTCACACCAACATTGCTAGAACAGCACATACACATGAGACAGGGATTCAGGTAAAGAGATTGTCAATGGCAAAAGTAAATGCAGGGATTTTTAAAAGTAAGCACAATAATGCCACTGGTGAAAATAAGTCATACATATGGATGAAAAAAAAAAGAATTCGCCTTTGCAGATTTGCTGATGACTTAGCCATTATATCGCCCGATGGGACTGAACTGCAGGAAGTTATATTATAACTCAATAAAGAAGGCTGCGAACATGAATCATCATCACCATTAGCAATGATGAACCCAATGTTAGATGAAGGCCGGCAAAACGAATCGTCTCTATCCCTCATGATCCCTTGATGCAAAAATCCACCCAGCACCCTCACAAACAGTTGCCATTGCTTCATCTGCGTGCTGGGATTATTCTCAATATCAAAATAACATGCACCTGAGACAGACATCGCCAGTGTTCTAGCACACGCGTTGTATGCGCATTTCCTTTTGCTCACATTTATCTTGAGCCCAACTTTGCAGGCTTCTAAACTTTGATGTATGTATTGAATGTTTGTATTCAGCCAACGTTTCGCTTTCACTATGCGCACCTAAGCACATCTCTCCCCCCAGCCTTCCACCGTGCTCTGCAATCAGCCAAACTATCCGGCCACCAGACCTCGGCCCCTAAAAGCCATCACCTACCCTCATACATGCTCAGCAACAGCACCCATTTATCTTATCACTTTGCGTGTGCACCCTGATTCACCATCAAACTCCACATTATTCCTCCTTCCCTACCCCTGCAACGCCACATGGCTCATTTCCCAGTCCCTGTCCCTCCGTCCAATCCGTCACCTCCCTCTCTAGATGATATAAAAGCATTGGTTGCTTCATCGCTAATTTATTATTGTTTTCCATTATAGAGGTTTTATGGGTTATATCGCTAAAATATTGATGTGTCGTTAAACCCGCCACCACCCAACACAGCCAATTTGTAAGGTTTGCCACGTAAACAGAACATGCCGATTCGATACTAGTGGAATTGAGCGACTTCCACACAGGGCACAATACAGGCCAACACTTATCCTTCATTACACAGAGTACAACTCCATTCTTTTAACGTCTCTACTGGCTACACACAGCCGATCACTCGACGTGGTCGCATCACCCTCACTCAGTTATGCCGCTGGCTGGTGTCGTGATGATGACGGCGATGGAAACCACGCAGCAGATCTTCCACATGGCCGGACGATGGAGAGAGATGTCGACAAGCAGCGATATAGCCAGGACCCAGACCCCACTCACGAGCCCCGAGCCCTGTGTACGCTCCCCCTTATATTCCCCCCCCCCCCCCGGTGTGGCTAGGCCCCCTCTGGCCACACCCTCTCGTGGAGCAGGTTTTCTCGGCCAACCCCACCTATTACCTTTGCCCCAAATGCACCTCCTTCCCTGATTGGTCGTTACTCAACCATGCCCATACCGGTGATTCCTCTTCCAGGCCAGCAGGTGTCACCATGTCATTGCACTAGTACAGCACACCGGTGTGTTGGAGAGTAAATAATCCAGAACGTTTTTTTTATTCGGTTTGGGCTCAAATTATTAAACTACTTTTGTGCTGGTGACGATATAAATAAATAGTAGATACTCAATTCCGGGGAAGCACTGCCGTTCACCGCAGGATGGGCTGGGCCTATATGTGAGCGAGCATGAATTATATTACTCCTCAATGTGAGAAGGATTGCACTGGGCCACCATTGTCTCCTTCTGATTTCCCTTGATATAGAACCAGCTGAAGGAGCTGCAGGTTACCATTGCATCGGCGTTTATGTGATTAAGTTCCTGAGGAGGTCCACATTAATTATAACCTCTGAGAAAGGGAGTTATACCCTGATCTTTCTAGCCCTGAACCTCAGTAAGAATGAAAACTCTGGCACTTGGACCAGGACAATGTATTGTTCAATTGCACCTCCTTCAAAAGTGAGTCTCATTACGGTGCATAAGACGATGTCCCAAATCACTTCGGCATTTTTGCCAAGCTGCCTAAATAACTATGCACTATACACAATCCTCAGTATTGCTCATGTGCCATGTCTTCATTATCCCCAAGTCCTGAATGCAGGTGGGTTGTATGCATGTTGAGGAAGGATAACAAACTCAACACAGAAGCATTTCTAAATACGTGAGTTTTCCATGTAGTCTTAAAAGTGCATAGCTCCAGAGGCTTTCCAAAAAACGGAAATAAGAGCGTTCCAGAGGGGTGCAGAAGTGGATCTGAAAGCACGTGATCCATTGGCCATCTTTGTTCGATGGTTAGCAAAAAAAAACAACTGTGAGGATGACCTGAGTTTGTGCCACGGTTTATGCTCTTGACGAGATCAGCGAGGTAATGTGCTGAATTTTTTTAGTAAGCACTTTGTGTTTAATGAATGTGACATTATAACGTATTAGTTCTGCAAGCAGAAGCCAATGCATCTCAGCAAGCACCGGATGGATATGGTCAGAGCTTCCAGTACCCCTCACGACACATGCCAAAGAATGTTGTACACACTGCAGCTGGTTAATGTTTTTTTTTTTGTCAGACATCCCGTAGAGTAGTGAGTTACAATAATCGAGCCTTGTCGATACTTCGCTACACCCCACCATGTTGGCTATGTCACGACTCAATAGTGGCCGAATGTGTCGTAAATCCTTGATGTGAACTTTTTAGGACATGACTATATTTTTCACGTGGTGATCAAACGACATGTTCTGGTTGAGTATGGTGCTGAGGCTCTTTAGATAAGTAGAAAACCGAATCCTGG